AGCTAAATAAAGGGATCGTACTTAGGAGACCTTTGTAAAGTTAGATTGAAGCCTGCTTGGTCTGTAAAAACAGCACCTCAACAGCACATCTGACCGGTGCTAACAGGGCAATGTGTGTTCAGATGTGTGTAGCTTTTAACACTCACCCAGCTTTGGGGGCAGCTTTTGACATGAAGTGATTGCCACAGGATTTCTCCTGCAGCTCTGAGCTGGAGAAGCAGTCCTGCTCATGTAAACGTGCTACTTGCATTCGGATGGAAACTGTGCTGTCCATCCCATGTGCGTCCCTTGTGGGCGATCACAAGATTTCCACTTCTGGGTCTTTTGGACCAGTTTATCAGGGACAAAGCACTGTCTTTGCTATTGAAGAGCTGGGGGGAAGGAGAGGAAGGTTTGCATTGGTGAGTTGCTGTTGTCTCCTGTGCAGAGAATGAGTTTCAGTCGCAAGGGTACAGGTTATCCTAGGAGGTTTCTTCAGGCACGTTTGCATGAAAAAGGACTTAATGGAGGCAGTAAAATTTCACCCACAAAAAGCACTGTGCCAGGACAGGTCAGAACCTTTGCTTCAGTGAAATCCTTGCTGTATCCTTTCCTTTTCTCCTGCTGCCAGCTCTGAGCCCTGGGCAGCCAGTGGTGCCAGGCACTCATTGGAGAAGCTGGGGAGCCCGTCACCAGGCTGTCTGGGCACACCGGACAGCAGACACAGTGGGGATGGGTCTCCCATCACTGCTCAGCCTTGCAGGAACCATGATGGGTTTGCTCTGAGCTGATCTTTTCAGGTGTAGCTATTGAGGCAGATGGTCTGATGGCCCTTTAATGGTAGTGACATCCGTTATCCCAGTCCTGCAGAAAGGATCTCTTGCCTCTTCTCTTCCATGGCAGGCAGCTGGGGGACCCATGCCAGGGACAGCTTTTAGCCATATATTGCAGAGGCAGAGAAGTGCTGGTGAGTTCTCTGCAGAATGCAGCTGGGCTCAATTACACAAGCTCAGAGCAAGTAAAACCCTGGTGAGGAGCTGGAATGTTCAGGCTCAGCCTGCCACCCCTGCAGGATGGACACTGGTAACCAAGTGTGGTCACAGAGGTACCTCTCACAGGTGATGCTCTGACCTCCCTGGTGCACAAATAGCAACACTTATATCTAATTCACCACTTTGGCAGCAAACTCCTGGCTGACACTGCTCTGGTTTTAGGAAATGGATCTGAAGCACAGCAAACAGAAAAGTGCTTTTGGCTGAGCCAAGCCGTTAACGACCAGCTCTGGTTAAGTCTGATGCAGGGTGTGTTTGGAACAGAGAGCAGGATGGGCTCTAGGAGAATAAACATCTCACAGGGAATCCCGCCTTGGGAACCAGAGCTGCTGCTGGTCCTGCCCCTGCAGATCATCTCCCACCACTGCACAAGGGGGCTTCAGGATGGGTTTGGGGCTTAGAGGTGTGATTGTGGAGCTGTGTTCAGCTCGCAGGTCTGCTCCCAAGGAAGGTTTCTAAGGTATTCCAAAGCTGTCATCAATCAAAGCCCTTCCACATCAGGCTGTGTGCACCAGTGTTTGCATGGAGGTTGTAGGAGCCTCTAACTGGCCTTTTAAATTATCGGTCTTCAGGTTTGATCTCTGCTAGTCTGGAAAATGAGATGAGCTTTTCTGTGTGTACTTCTGCCCTTTTAAGGGTCCTGATTTGAAGCACTGTGAAGTGGGCATTGGCCGAGGGTGCTCATCGCGCATCACGCTGGATCAGAACCGTAGCCATACGCAAACCACCCCAAAATCCACCTGCTCCCTGACAGTGGGGCTTCAAACTGCTCCTTCCTGGCTCTGCCTTGTGTATATCCCTGTGGGATGGCTGTGTGAACCGTGTCTGCCAGCAGCGGGAAGCCTGGGCTCCAGGAGCTCCAGATGCTGGGTGTCAGCTTGGTTGCACTCCATAACTGATGGTCCTAGAAGGCAAGCGTGAGGAAACAGATTGCATGTTTCTGTTTCCTAGGGGTAGGAGCTCTGCTCGGTGCAGCTTTGCAGGCCAGCTCCTGGGGAGGGTTTGCAAACCCTTCTCATTTAAGAGAGGCCATAAAAAGCAGGAAGGAAAACCAGCAGAGAAAAGCAAATTGAGGGGAATTTTAACTATCTTGAACCTGAGAACTGGAAGGAAACCATCTGGTTCTAGGGTCCTGAGGATGAATGCAGGAGGGTTGTGCACAGTGGGGTCTCACAGCCTTTGCCATGAGGAGAAGGAGACTGTCCTGAAGAGATTCCTGTGCAACAGGAAAAGTGCATGGCAGAGAAACTGAGCAAAAAGGAAGGCAGAGACCAGTGTGCACTGAGGGGTGAATGCTTTCTGTGTGTTAGCTGTCCCCAACACAAATCACAGCTCCCAAAGCCTGCAAAGAGCTTGGTGGAAGAGGCTGAGGGACTTCCATTGCTTCACCTCCATGGGATTGGTCTGGTAAGTGTCAGGGTAGTAGGAGTGCTTTGGTGTCTGTCAGGAGGAGCCTGTTCATCCCTATGGATGCTGCTGGCTCACCTGTGGCTTTATAAGCCCTTTATAACCTGTAAGAGGCAACTCACCCTTATGTAGTGAGGCAATGTAAGGGTGAGCTGCCACCACCATGAGCATCCTCTTCCCCCAGGGACCCCAAGGAACTCTGCAGTGCAGGGAGGGCTCTGAAATGCCCTGTTTCCATCACCAACCTCATGCCTTTCAGAGAGAGCCCAAGCAGTAAGTTTTGGCTTTATAGATGATGATGTGCAAATTGCTGAGCTTAGCAGGGACAAATGGGCAACGCTTTACAAGTTACCCTGCATTAAAGCAAGTCTGTGGAGATTGTTCCTTAGGTCCTTTGATGGTTTCCATTCCAGACATAACCAGTCCCATGCTCCCAGTGAAGGAGCCTGGATATCCCTGGTGCAGAGGAGCCTGTGGGAAGGAGAGCAGAGGATCCTGCCCTGTCCTCTCCTCTGCAGGCAGAGGCCCCAGTTGCTGTGTTCCTCAGACCAAGTGTGCATCACTGCATGGGTAATTAATGATAATGGGTGTCTAAAAGCATCGTTCTGTGGCTCTCAATAGCCTGCCAGCCAGCACCGGCCATTGCTTTTCTCCCTGAAATGTTTATGATCCTTCTTTTCCTCCCTGTGTCACGGTTGAAAGCGTTTTCTTTATTTCCCTTGAACGAATAATGTAAATCTGGGAACTGGAAACCCATAGCCTGGTTATATATGTGTGTGTGTATATATATATATATAATATGAAGAATATAAATCAGGGAATAGTTAAAATGGTATTATTCCTGGCAGCTAAACTCCTTTTTTAATAAACATTTTGATTTCTTGTTTTGGAAGCTGTTTGCCCCATGTGTGTATGCAACCACATGGAAGGAGCAGTGCAGAGAGGGCTTGGGGTGGCTGCTGAGCCTTCTGAGGTGGTGGAAGTACCAGGAGCTTGCTGGAGTCTGCAGCTTTTCAGCCGGTGGCAGGAAAAATGCGTAGTTAAGCCTGGTTCTTATCAATCCCAGAACCCCAGCCTGGTTTGGGTTGAAGGGACCTTAAAGCTCCAACCCCTGCCATGGGCAGGGACCCCTTCCACTGGAGCAGCTTGCTCCAAGCCCCTGTGTCCAACCTGGCCTTGAGCACTGCCAGGGATGGGGCAGCCACAGCTTCTCTGGGCACCCTGTGCCAGCGCCTCAGCACCCTCACAGGGAAGAGCTTCTGCCTCAGAGCTCAGCTCAGTCTCCCCTCGGGCAGGTTCAAGCCGTCAATGGGAGCTCTGCCTTAGGAAGAGGTGAAGAATTGGAATTCCAAGATCTTTTCCTAGCAGGATCTGGTTTTTATTTCTCTAAGCTGCTCAGTTTTACAAGGCTTGGGAACGCCGGTGCTCTCCGCTCTGCACCAGTGATGGGCATTTGTTTCCAATTAGTATTTATTGGATTATTCCAGTCAGAAGGAAGCTCTGTGTTAGAGCCCTGCAGGATGCGCTCTGTTATTTGTTCACAGGACGGTGTTTTCTTTTCCTGCTTGGTTTTGCATCAGTGTCGCTGGGGATCTGCCTTGAAACAGATTAAACCAGATTAAACAGATTACAGCCTCTTAAACAAGCGTCTGTTTCTTCCACGGGTAAGGGCATGTTTCAGACTCGCATGGCTGGAAATAGCAGCAGCCTAGAGCACCCTGACACCCTGAAGGCTGTGTCCAGCTTCCTGCTGCTTTTCCCAATATCTGGAATTAGCCCTTCTCTGGGGAAGGGGGTGCTGGTCACGGCGTGGATCAGATGGTTTGTGGCAAGATTAGCAGTAGGTACTGTTGGATTTATGGGTGTGCATGGGGATGACTAACAAAGCTATGGAAAAACACATAGGTAGTGTTTTATGTAGGGAAAATAATATGGAAAACTTGTGGTTTAATGGCATCCGACTTCCTGACATGAGGTCATATTTCCATAGTTTGCCTTGCGAATTAAAAAGCAAATGAGAATGCAAAGACTGAGCTGAACCTTTGACCAGTGCGTTTCTCACTGTGAGTGACTGAGAAAACCTCCCCAAACCAGGGATCTCTGTGGGCAAAGGTAGTGGCAAATAAGTGAAAATACCAGGATTGGCCCCAGGTCCTGTGCCTGGGGCTGAGAGCTTGGGTTTTGCTGGTGTAAATCAGAGCGATTGCCTCAAGTCAGGAGAGCGAGAGGGGCTCTGGAGCGATGTAACACGAAATGAGAAGCAGGCTCAGAGCCCTTGTGTGCGGAAATAACAGGCTTTTACAGGAGAATAAATGTGGAATACCTGGCAGTGGCTCCCCATGGGGGAACCGGCAAGTTCATTTGGTCCAAGACCAAGGAAAGGCGCAGAGATCCAGCAAGACTGAGCTGCGGGTCAAGCCTGAGTTTTCCTTTTCCCGCTGCATATCTCTGTTTTCCATAGCACATATACCATATTACTACTGCGCAGTGCACAGCCCCTCTGCATGCATCCTGCTAAGAACCAGAAAGCCCAAGGTGTTCCTGCTTTTTCCTCTCTTCCAGGACAACGGACCGGCCCAGAGCAGGAGGACGATGCCCCATGTGCCTGGTGGCAGCGCCATGGACAACAAGCAGATGCTGAATGTGCAGCACCACCACCCGAACCGGCTCTATGCCAACAGCAGCTCCGAGTCAGCTCTGCCAGGCCAGCTGAGTGGCCTCCACATATCTCCTGCCCACAGGTAGGATGAGAGCATGGCCAGGCCCTGGGTTCTCTCCTGCAAACTTGGTTTCAGGGGGATACATTGAGGCTGTGGTGATCCTGGAGCCCCTGGGTTCCTTCACCAGCTCCGTTGTCCTTCTCTGGGCTCAGCTCCTCAATACCTCTCAGTATGTCCCAGAACTGGAAGATGGGTGAAGGAGCTGGTTTTCCAGATCTCCGTAAGATCCTTCTATTGCCAATGGGGGTAGGTAGCTTAGTAGCATCAGATCCAGTCCGCAGGCTGGGATGAATGCCAGGGAGCATCAGAAACGTTAGTTAGATTGGATATAAGGAGGAAATTCTTTCCTGTGAGGGTGGTGAGGCACTGGAATGGGTTGCCCAGGGAGGTTGTGAATGCTCCATCCCTGGCAGTGTTCAAGGCCAGGTTGGATGGAGCCTTGGGTGAGATGGTTTAGTGTGAGGTGTCCCTGCCCATGGCAGGGGGTTGGAACTGGGTGATCTTAAGGTCCTTTCCAACCCGAACTATTCTTTGATTCTATGATTCTATCCTGGTTTTCCAAAGTATATAGGCAAGGCAGGATGGAGAGGTTTGCCCTCCTAGGAGTGGGGATTGCCCCACCACAGACCCAGGAGCAGACACTTGGCCTGGAACTGGAGGTACCCACAGGGAAAATGAGCCCCAGTAAATGGGGGTGTTTGGGAATGGTCGATCCGGTCCGTGCAGCTGTGCAGGAGGCTGGGAAATAAAGAACACTCCAAGGAAAGAAACAGCTTTTGTGTAGCCAGGAGGGGTTTGGGTGGAAGATTCGGGCTTTGAGACGGGCCAGGTTGTGGACTGCGATGCTTGCGCATGGCTTAGGCTGCTGCTGATTTATGCTCCTCCAGACTGGCAACATCCTGCAAGCAAGCAGTGTTCTGCATCGCATACAGCGAGCAAAGAGAGTTTCTGTTCATTGGGGAGCTCTCTGCCTGCACTAATTCATATTTCAGTGACGCTGCGAGCCAGCTTCTTCCCTGCGCTGCTCCAGGGGAGTTAATGAAGCTGGAAAGGAGGGATGTGCACAAAAAGCATGGAGAACAAAACCTCGTGTTTATCTCTGTGCGAGCCAAAGGGCAGGAGATTAGCTCGAGCGTTTGAGTAGAATTGGGGCAGAAGTGAATTTGTGCTTGATGGGGCCGGACAGGTCAAAACCTGCTGCTTTTCATTGAGGATGTGTGAACTGAGGTACGAGAGGGCTGCAGCAGGGCGCAGGGGAACCCAGGGCTGATTTTCTTTGTTTGAAAGTGAGTTTTATTTCTCTTTAATTCTGTTTCCATGCAACGAATGCAGTGCTGGTGGGGAAAATGAGCCAGACGATGGCTCAGATCTGTGTGATGGGGTTCAGGGCTCTCGCTGGTTTCCTTGGCTTTATAATGACCTTGGTGACCTCCTCCTGAAACAGGAAAAGGAGCCCCTTCCCACTGAGCTGTGCTGTGCTTTGGGGCCCCACTGAAGCACAACAGCACTCGAATTCACCTCTGCTCAGCAGGACACGTGCACATGTACCCAGAATAGGGTTGATTCCAAGCTGTGCTTGCAGTGTTTTGCTGTGCTGAGTGAACCAGAATCATGGTTTAAATGACTCTTTGTTGTCTGTTGTACCCCAGTCGTGCTGCATCCAGGCAAGGAGCAGTGTCTGGATGCTGGAGGTTGGGGGGGCAGTTATGGGGCTGCTCTTGTGTCCCCTCCACCACCTCATTTTAGCTGTGGCTGTGCCTGGCAAATGGATCTTTCCATGCGGTCACCTACAGGAATGCTAACTTCAAAAGAGATGGAAAGGGGATTTGCTGTCATGCCTGTGCCCGGCAGCAGCACACGTTGTCCCCATGCTGGGTGTCCCAACAGTGGTACAAGGGGTGGCTGGACCTCCTGGCCCTACCTCATTAAAGAAACTCATTGTTTTACCCGTTTTTCCCAATACATTCCATGTGTGGCACAGCAACTGGCAGTGCTTGTAAGCAGCTGCCCTATTTCCTGAAGGCATCTGGTAACGGGGCCAGCCCAAACTGCGTTGCTCAATCAGAGCTGAAGAGGGAACAAGTTTAACTTCCCTGGTTCAGTGGCTGTTCCTGGGACAGGCACCTCCAGGCACAGAAACCATGGGAACAGAGAGGTGTTTAACTGAATCTGAGGGAATGTGGAGGCTCCCATCGGTCCCTCGGGAGCTGACAGGCGCTGTTTGTATCTGACTTGAGCCTTTCTTTCTCTCCTTCAAAACAGCATCGACCCCGTGAAGTCTCTCCCACGGAACAGAAATGGGATTGATGTGGAGTCAGACGTCTACAAGATGCTTCAGGATTATGAAAAGCCCATTTCGGAGCCTAAGCAGTCTGGGTCCTTCCGATACTTGCAGGGCATGTTGGAGGCTGGTGAGAATGGTAAGGAGGTTGGCATCCGTAGTGTGTGCCATCAAGTCCTCCCTGCAAACAGGGCTGTGGCTTGAGCCATCATTTGGTCTCTTTGCACCCCCTTCCTTGGTCCCACACCCACCAAGCTGCTATTGGAGGCTTCACCTCCTTCTCCTTCCTTTACTGAGGTCCAGAAGCTTGGAAAGCCTCTGAAGGACCCATCTATAAGAGCTGATGGGAAGGGGCTGCAACCTCTTCTGCTTTGCTGCTTTACCATACATCACCCTGGTGCTGGGGCAGCTCAGCCCAACACGGGATGCTCTGAGCATCCTGTGAGGGTCCTGGCTCCCTGCACATCCTGGATCCCTGCATCTGGGTGGCAGGTTTCAAACCGGGATTTCGGATACTCGGCGTCTGGGGGCTTCCCAGGTTTTGTGGTTGACTTGAGCATGGTGTGAAAGTTGGGTTTCCAGGCGGCTTCTGCATGGCAGCTCTGCTCCCGGGACTGCTTGTGGAACACACTGGTCTGAGGTGGTTGTGTCAGATCACCAGTGGAGAGCCAGCAGCCTGTCTGAGTAAATGGCATTTGCATAAGGACGTGGGATGGTCCTCGGCAATGCAGGGATAGCGATCAGGAGCTCCTGGCTCACATCTGCCGTCTGCCACAGCTTCCTGCCTGTGTCGTTAACACAAGCAGGAGCCAGCTCCAAGCATTAAATAAGATCCCCAAACGATACATTTCAGCTTCTTTTTATTTGCCTCTCAACCTTGAGTCCACTGCAGCTTTTATGTTCAAACTCTCAGGCTTTGCCTTACAATCATTAGGGCAGGACTCTTCTTTCTGCTTCCTTCCAAGAGCCTCGTACTCCGATCATGTGAATCCAGGAACTTAGTTTTTATGGGAAAACACCAACTACTGGAAATCACATTATGCAGCTGCAGGAGGTAGCAAGTGGGGCTGCTGCACTCAAGTTTCTGTGTGTATAAAATGATGGCGAGCCCTGTTCTTTGACCAGTAGGGTATTGCTTGCTTCACAAGAAGCACGATCACAGGTAACTTCTGAGCATCGAGAGGTTCCTCCCGTTCCAGTTTCCTCAGTGGTACTGAGGTGTGTCTGCAAAGCATGAGATAGGATCAGCCTTGGAAGCACTGGATGTAAATACTGCAGCCCCTCCTAGGCTGGCAGGAAAACCAGTGCTAATGACAGGCTCCAGTTGTACCTTCAAGTCCTTCACTGAGAGCAAGCAGGAGTAGCTCCTTGTGCAGAGTCTGCTGCACCCCAGGCCTCCTCATTAGGAAGAATAAATAGGAAGCAACTGTGTTAATGCTGTGAGGCACTGGCACAGGGTGCCCAGAGAAGCTGTGGCTGCCCCATCCCTGGCAGTGCTCAAGGCCAGGTTGAACACAGGGGCTTGGAGCAAGCTGCTCCAGTGGAAGAGGTCCCTGCCCATGGCAGGGGTTGGAGCTGGGTGAGCTTTAAGGTCCCTTCAACCCAAACCAGGCTGAGGTTCTGTGTCTCCTCCCTTCTCTGTGCCAGGGGAAGGGAACAAAATTGGAGCTTTGCTGTTTTGCTCCTGCCTCACCTCGCATCCTGCAGTGCAGGGGGGCAGAAACCCAGTGCTGCCCTTTGGGAGGACAGGAGAAGGAAAAGGCTATGGGGGACAGAGAGGTGCTGGGACAGTGCCCGGACCCTGGGTCTGCCCCTGCCAGTCCTGGTGTCTGCTTGTCCCAGCAGTTCCTTGGCACCAGCCCATCCCCAGTGCAGTGTTATTGGGTTGGAGCCCAGGATGCTGCTGATGGGCATGAGCCAGGGTGGTGACAGGCTGGAGGGGTCCCTCCTGGGGCTCTGCCTCCCCTTTCCCCCTCGGCTGTGCTGGCAGTGGGGACGTGTGGCTGCAGGCACAGCCTGCCCCGTGCCGTGGTCGTTACACTCTGTTTACTTCATAAAGGATGAGAAATTAAGTGAAAAGCCTCTCTCCTGGCATAAAGCTCCATGATACATTGAGATTTCAAATCCCAGGAGTGTTCCTGCTTCGTTGTTTTACAGCTCCCACCCCTCCTCCTTCTTCCTTAAGCCTAAAATTATACATTTTGGCCTGAGCCTGCTTTGTGTTGTCCTTTTAAAGTCAAGATCTCCTCTCCTGAGGAGCTGGGTGTCTCGGACAACCACCTCATTTATATGGAGGGTGTTTCTACTGGAAGCCCAGCATCACCAGCCCCATCCCGACACCCTTAAGGAGCAATGCTTCATGCTGAGGATTTTGGGGAGGCTGGAGGAATCGCAGCAGTTGTCTCTATGGGTGCCCTTGGTGTGGGCAGGATGAGCATTGCAGCCGCAGACAGGGATGGTGATGGTTCAGATTGTGGAGTGAAAGCATCTCGCTGCCTGGCTGAGGACCATAAATTGCTGTGAGGCTGTGGGCTGGTAAACAGAAGGAAATGATCCGTCATTGGGAGGATGGGAAGCAGCTCTGTCTGCAGGGCTTGTTTTGCTGTAAAATCGTTTGGGTTCTTCCTCTCCTTCTCCTCCTCTCTTTTCTAAGCAGCTTATCCAAGCTCTGCCTGAGAGACAGCGACAGCTTGACTTGAATGCTGGCAATGAGCACGTCTGGTCCAAGCACGCCAGGTCCCTCGCTGCGGGAAGCCAACAGCTTAAGCAGTTGTTTCGGTTGATTCCCAGCAAGGCAGAGGAAGGACTCAGCAAGGGAGCTTGGCTGGAGCCAGCCCAGGGCTTGGGGGACCCCTGAGCTGGAGCAGCCCCGCTCTGGTCCTGGGCAGGCGCTGTCGTGGCTCTTGGTGTCTCCAGGCACTGTATTTGCTCTCAGGAGAGTGGGATTTGATGGGAAATTGGTTCTTTTGGGTTTACTCACTTGGCTTGTGTTGGTGTCTGGATCAGAGCTATGGCTGGAGATGGGGTTTGCTGTGTGAGGCTGCCTGCACATCCCAAGGGTGAGCTGGGTGGTACTCACTAAACAGCCCAGCAGCCACATTCATATCTCATGTCTGGATAAGGCAGCTTTGCCTTTGACAAGGTGTATATGCCACATTGTTAGCACAGTGCATGGATGTATCTGCTGGTGCCACCAAGGGCTTCTGCCATCACCCATGCTTCATTAGGATGAGCAGAGGTGAGCGCAGCGTCCTGCGGTCATCCACGGCCCCAGATGCTGTCTGAATCTACCTGGTCTCACTATTTGCTTTTTCATCCCTTCCAAGCGTGTTGTGACAAAGGCTCGCCTGAGTCCTCATCAAAGGAAGAAGAAACAAAAGCCGGGCGAGGGCAGGTTCTCAGTGTGTGTCTGTGTCACATCCCCGCAGGTGAGAAGCTTGACAAGCTGAGCAACCCCCGAAGCATCAAGTCCCCGGTGTCCAAGCTTGGCGGTGCCATGTCCGGGCTGCAGATGCTCCCTGAGTGCACCCGCTGCGGGAACGGCATCGTGTAAGTGTCACATCCCGATGGAGCCTCCGGGTCGGTGGGATGGGAATGCAGCTGGATGAGGTCCTACCAGATGTGTGGGTCAGAGTTTGAAGCAGAATACCTTACATTTATAGCAGAATATCTTGAATCCCTTTCTGCTCTTTGCTAACCATTTATAAACCTGGAATTGAGGAATATGGTTTGGCTTGTCCCTTTTAAGGGAATCTTGCAGCAATACAGGGATGATTCATGGGATGGTTTCTGCCCTGCTTATCCTAGTAACTGCCCAGGGACTATGAATAGTGCTGGCACTCTTTCACTGCCTTATGGAGGGAGAAACACTTTGAGGGTCAAGTCGAAGAGGTCTGTGGATGATTTTTGTTTGCTTATTGAAGAGTCACTCTCCGATGGATTGATGCTGGGTCTGATTTCAGAGAGTACAGGCATTTCCCTGCTTCATTGTGTTGTAATTTATGTTCTGTTGTAATTTACTGCTCAAGCCAGATTTGCTGGCTGGGAGCCTGCTCTGCAAATGCTGTAACCATGTTCTTGCTGGTGCTGTGAGCTGAGCAGAGATGTTCCAAAACCCACAGTGCTTGCATGTGCGCATCCCCAGCCCTGCCAGCAGTGCCTGGAGTGTGTTCAGATGCTGGCTTCTGATGCTCAGATCCAGCCTGAGTGTAGATGTTGAAGGCTCTGCTTTGCATCACATCCTGGAGCGATGCGGACAGATGGGAACGGAGCATCCCTTCCCACAGAAACATGATGGAGCTGCGCCTGGAGCGGGATGGCAGCTTTGGGTGGGCTGAGATGCTGGGATGGGAACCCACGATAACACCCTCACATGTCCCTGCATGCTGCTTTCCTTTGCTTCATTTTACTGGAGGGTGCTGAGGCGCTGGCACAGGGTGCCCAGAGAAGCTGTGGCTGCCCCATCCCTGGCAGTGTTCAAGGCCAGGTTGGACACAGGGGCTTGGAGCAAGCTGCTCCAGTGGAAGGGGTCCCTGCCTGTGGCAGGGGTTGGAGCTGGAGGAGCTTTAAGGTCCCTTCCAGCCCAACCCATTCTATGAACCTATGAATGTTTGTGCTCTTTGCTCCTCCACCTCACCCCAGCTCTCCCCATCCCTCCCCAGGGGCACGATCGTCAAAGCTCGGGACAAGCTCTACCACCCCGAGTGCTTCATGTGCGACGACTGCGGCCTCAACCTGAAGCAGAGGGGTTACTTCTTCATCGAAGAGCAGCTGTACTGCGAGACGCACGCCAAGGAGAGGGTTAAGCCCCCCGAGGGCTATGACGTGGTCGCTGTTTATCCCAACGCCAAGGTTGAACTTGTCTAAACCCGGGCTGAGCTGTGCAGAGGGCGGGCGCCCACCCACCGCCACCAGCAGCGCTGGGGCTGGAATCAACCCCCGTTACCAGAGCCCAAGTCCCAGTGCCTTTCCCTAGATAAAACCGTTTACAGTCGGGATCTCCGGGGGCTGGTGTTGAAAGCACACGAACAGGTTTTTCCCTTCTTTTTGACACTCTGCTTTTCGGGTTGCTGCAGTGGGATATTAGCCTGTGCCATAACCTTATCCAAGATCTGTGTAAATATTGATTAATTCTCTACTCTGTTTCCTACGAAACCAGTATTCCCCCTTTTCTGTCCCCGCTCCCCTTCTGAAAAAGCAAGGAAGATGTTTTAAAAGCTCGTAGAAAATAAGGCACTTTAACAAATGACGCTGACTCCAACAGCCTGACATTTCTCTCCTGCCTTCTGGCTGCCCCAGCGATTAAAACCCGACCCCCTGAGGAGCTGGGATGCGGTACCAGCGGGTCGGGGTTCCTGGCTCATCCCAGCTGATGTGCTGAGGAACGGTGGTCTCTTAGAACAGCAACTGGATCAGGGCACTGCAGAGTGAGGCTGACACGGACCGATCCGAGTTCCCCAGGAGAGCTCCACACTCATAATGCATGGAGGCTTTTGTCTCCCTTCTTTCACTCTTTATTCAGTTGTTCTCTGTCATCCAAACCCCCAGCACACCTTAAAGGACACTGAAATAGCACGGAGCCCACCTCGGCTGTTCCAGCTCCCTTGCTCCAGCCCCATCACTGTCATTGCTTTGCCTGTCCTGACTCTTCCCCATCATTTGCTATAGTTTTGTAGCCCTTTATTTCTAGATCCCATCCATGGCTGCCTCCCAGCGGGGAGGTGCTGATCAAATCCCTCCCGGCACTTAGGAAGTAACTGGAGCTGGTGAGCCCTGGTCCACAGGCAGCAGGATTGGATTTATACCCATATCCCAAGGCTCTGCTTTCAGCCAGGTCCATCATCCGCTTTGTTTAATGGGGAGAAGTTTTTGAGGATCTTGGAATGATGCTTTGTTGGAGAGATGGGGTTGTTTCCATGTTGGTGCTAGGAGGAGGGAGAGTTGAGTCTCCCAGTTTAGTCTCCCAGCTGCTGGGTGCCGATAGGAGCTGTGTGTTTGGTACCACAATGTTACTTCTGCTTTGCAACAGCCTCCTTCCTCCTCCTCGTTTGAGGCAGGGAAGATGTGGGGGAGAAAAAGGAATGTCTGTGCTTGCTTCTCATACATGGAAAAGGAAAATAAGAGATGGGGTGATGGCCAAAGCACTCCTCCTGGCTCTCCATAACTCAGAAATCTGGGACTGGAGAAGGGTTGGGAGCACTATCCAGCTGAGGCTGAGCACACAACCTCTTCCTACAGGTTCTGCATCCCAGAAGGGAGGAGGGATGTTAGGGTGTTACTGGGCTGTATCTAGACCTCTTCATGCAGTGCCTTAACAGGGATTGAAGCTGCTCCTGCCCTGTTCCTGAGCATGCAGCTCCCCCCAGCCGGGTACCACCTCAGAGCCGCAGGGATGCTGGCCTGCACCTCCCTGCCAGGAGCAGAACATCCACCTCCCCTCCCTCTGCCATCAGGGTTTGCAGTTGTTAAAGTACAGGAACACGTGGGAATTGTTATCACCGTGCTGAGCTCCTTGTCTGCACGGTGTGCTGGGTGGGGTGGAAGGGGAATACTTGGGACAACTGTAAATGATGAGGGGACTGAGGATCATCGGGTGGGAAGCATCTCTGCCCTGTTTGCAGGGCTCTGCTTGGAGCCGTTTGCCACTGTCAGAAGCGGTTGTTCTGAATTCCCCATCCCCAGGCACGTTGATTCCTGACTTCAGGCAGCTTCATTCACGTTACGGGGTTTGTAGGAGCTGCCACACGTGAGGCTCCCATGTCCCCCCTCCGGGAATGCCACTAAACTGTAACACAGGGGCAGGGCACTGTTTGTATGGAACACAAAATAAAGCTGTACTGATGGCTTTGTGTCTCGTGTCACTCTGCTCAGCCTTTGGCTGGTCCCTGATGACTTTGCCATGGCTGTGCCCTTATAGAATCATAGAATAGTTCGGATGGGAAAGGACCTTAAGATCATCCAGTTCCAACCCGCTGCCATGGGCAGGGACACCTCACACTAAACCATGGCACCCAAGGCTCTGTCCAACCTGGCCTTGAACACTGCCAGGGATGGAGCATTCACAACCTCTCTGGGCAACCCATTCCAGTGCCTCACCACCCTCACAGGAAAGAATTTCCTCCTTATACCCAATCTAAACTTCCCCTGTTTCAGTTTTAACCCATTACCCCTTGTCCTATCACTACAGTCCCTAATGAAGAGTCCCTCCCCAGCATCCCTATAGGGCCTATGTGTGGGGGTCCTTTGACATCTGGGTAAGGAGGAGACTGGATAAACTGGATGATCTTGGAGACAGCTGCACTTCTCATAGCATTGTGCATTGAGAGGCTTGCTTGAGGCTTGGCCTGTGTTCCTGGCAGGGTTTGGTTGGGGTTTTTCTCACTTACAAGACATTGGGACCCTGCATCCCATCAGGTCCAGAGATGGGATGGGCTGTTGTGTCTCTGCCCGTTATCTAGAATTCCAGCCTGGTTTGGGTTGAAGCGACCTTAAAGCTCCTCCAGCTCCAACCCCTGCCACAGGCAGGGACCCCTTCCACTGGAGCAGCTTGCTCCAAGCCCCTGTGTCCAACCTGGCCTTGAGCACTGCCAGGGATGGGGCAGCCACAGCTTCTCTGGGCACCCTGTGCCAGCGCCTCAGCACCCTCACAGGGAAGAGCTTCTGCCTAAGAGCTCAGCTCAGTCTCCCCTCGGGCAGGTTCAAGCCATTCCCCTTGGCCTGGCCCTACAGGCCCTTGTGAAGAAAGGCAAGAGGGGCTTGTGAAAGCTCTGTCCCACCTTGAATCATGGAAACCCACGAGGTGGTAGGAGCCAGAGGAGCAGGAGGGTGAGCACAGGCTCACTGGGGTTTAGCTGCTGTATCCTTGGGGGATTTAAAAAGACAAAGCCTCTGAGGCTCTGCTTGTGAAGGGTTTCCATGTAGCATGGGTCTGTGTAACCCCATGTCTAATTAGTGCACATATGCAAATAATTAGCATGCTTGTGGCTTTCCCATTAGTGATTTTTCTATTCACCCCTTGAATGCAGATGTATGTTGGATGTGTTTGTATATTACAGGGACCCATAGCCCCTCTGCCCTGGGCAGTGATGCCCAGGGGTGACACTGATGGGGACACAGAGTGCTTGGCTGGACCCTCTCAGACCCCTCACTGTCCCCAGGAGCCGCCTCCAGGCTCCTCATGCCATGGAAATGAAGGCATGTAAGATCAGAACCGATGAAGGGCATCATTATTAACTCAGTGAGGTGGGACCAGTGCCAAAGGATTCAAGTTCTAATTGTTTTAACTTTTTCCATGGCTCATCACTCAGGTTTCCCACTTGGCCGGGCAGTATTCCCACCACCACACCCCCGTGGTGCCGCTGCTGTTTGCAGTTGTTGAACTTTGCTTTTGTTACTGGGTGGCTGCTCCCGGAGACCTCAAAGCAAAAATCTCAGCTGGCCCATTTGTATTGGGATGAAAGTCCTTGTGCCGTAAGAGGGGAGGGAAAGAGGCTGCTTGGGAAAGCTCCCTCTCCTTCCTTTCTCCTGTGTGAAAGAGGCTCTTTTAATCCCTTCAGGGGGAAAACCTCCCTATGTGTGTAATGAAGCACAGAAAAGGGCTCCTCAGTGAGCGATTTCGCCTCCCTGTGTCTCTTGAGGAAGGCGCAGGCTGTCAGGGGGCACCCACGGAGCTGCCCCAGCCCGGGAGCAGCTTCTCACCCCCGGACACGTTAAACATGGGCAGTTTCTATGTAGTCCTGAAGCAGTTCTTTGTGCAGGGAGGGCCTGGGCTGCTCTGGGGGCTGACATGCACAGGGTCGCTCTCTTGCTGTGCGAGGACACGCTGCAGGCTTCCAGCTTTCCTAATGAGAACAACCAGGGTTTGGTTGTCTGGGGGGGGGGGTGTTTCTGCAGGAACACACAACAGAGTGCCCAGAGAAGCTGTGGCTGCCCCATCCCTGGCAGTGCTCAAGGCCAGGTTGGACACAGGGGCTTGGAGCAAGCTGCTCCAGTGGAAGGGGTCCCTGCCCGTGGCAGGGGTTGGAGCTGGAGGAGCTTTAAGGTCCCTTCCAACCCAAACCAGGCTGGGATTCTAGATAACGGGCAGAGACACAACAGCCCATCCCATCTCTGGGACCAGACCAGGCTGGGGTTCTGTGATTTTCCTTTGCCCCATCAATAAGCTTCCACCTGACCCCAGTGCTACACAAACACCATGATTAGAAGTCTACAAATTATCATGTGCTTCTTAATTCCCAGCTCCTGAGATGGCTACTGGGAGGGTGGCACATTAGTCCCACCAAGGCAGAGGATCCCTTGACAGCGGCCTTGCCCAGGCAGAAGAGAAAGAGCCACTGCAGGCAGCAGCCCAGGAGCCCTGGTGATGGCCGTGCTGGGTGGCAGTGTCACACAGGGTGAGGTGATGTGCCTGAACACACACACACCGGATGGGGCTGCTCCTCCATTGCTGGGCAGCCTGCAGCAGCGCAGCATCCCATCGGTGCTGCTTCCTCCTCCAGCCCCTGCCTGCCTGGTTTGGGCCATGATCGACAATGTGTTTGCACAGGAACAAGACTCTTGCACAAGAGAGGCTCCTCAGCTCTTCAAGGTCCTCCCCATCTCCCCCTGTGACAGAGCTGCTCCTCCTCAGCATCTCATTTCACTTTATAGGAATCCCTCCGACCTCGCTTCCCGCGCTGCTCTTCCTCTAACAGCCAAAGCGTGGTTTAGGAGGCTGCACTGAAATGCACTGACTGCTTTCAGAGGGGTCCCTGGGGAGAACCAGGACCTCCACACTGAATTTACTCCTCGCCTGCCCCAGCCAGCTCCCGGATGCTGATTCCGTGTGGTCTTCACAATCTCCGTGCCTGGGTTGAAGCATCCCTGAGGTTGGATCCCCCCTCTGGGTCTGAAATGATGGTCTGCAGGAGCTGGTGGTGCTGTGGCAGAGCTGGCTGGAACACGAGGTGTTAATAGGACTGCTAATTCATGTAGATTCACAATATAAGAGAAAACCTCACAGGGTGTTCATTTTAAAGACATGAAAGATTCATCTGCAAACCAGATAAGCCTGAGCGCACCCTACACATCTTCCCTTTTCTTTTGATGGGCTAAATGTGCAGTCTAACCACAGTCACTTAGGACTGCAAATTGTTCCTCTGTAAACTCTTACTGATGACTGAATAATTATTAAGATTGCATTAGCATTAATGTTTAAGACAATACCCTCCCAGTTCCCTGTTTCCTGGCAGAGCAGGCTGCATTGCCTGG